ACATAAACTCACATATATATATACATAACTTACAATTTGTATGAAGTGATCATTATATAAATACAAAAATAACAAACACCTCCGCTATCCGGATCAAAAAAAAATAATGTTTAATATTTGGGGTTCATATACTCTGTGTTTATTTTGTTGTTGCTGTTGTTGTTTTCTATTTTTTATTCTTCATTTAAAAAATTACTACTTCTTCTTATATAGAATTTAGTTCAAACTAATGTTACATTGGGCTGGATAATGATGGTGATTTTAATCATAATATAAAATGTCATAATTTTAGTTTTTAACTTAAGTGTAAAATATAAAAATACAATAGAATAGAATATTCAGTACTGATCTCTATAGCCATTTAAAAATAGTTGCAGCATAATATGAATCCAGAATAACAATGATATAAACATGGATGTTATTAAATGATGCATATGTAATGATGTTGATATAATAAATATTGAATATACTTAGTGTATACCAGGCGTAATGTGTACCATAATTTTTACATTTATATTATTATATTTTAAATATATAGAGCAACAATTGCATAAATTGATCAAAATAGAAAAAACTTAAAACAGAGAATCTCTTGAAATATATTTTAATTTTACATACATATATACATACATATATATATAATAATAATGTACATTATATGAGTACAGTACTATTGTTATTAAAATTGAACAAAGAACCAAAAGAAATTTTAAAAGGAGGCGATCTAGAAAATATTGTAAAAGAAAGAGAATTATTTTTGATTTCTTAAATTTTTATTTTTGTTTTCTTTGTTTTATTTAAAAATTGCAGAAATTGTTTATTTGTTGAACGCCTCCTCGTTGCATTTAAATTTATAAGATTTTATAATATTCGAGTACATTTTATTCTAGAGTAATTTCAGTAGTTGTGTTGTTGTTTTTTCTTATTTTTCTGTAATTTCATTTAAGAAAATTAAAGAATTTCTTTTAAGAAATTTAATAAAAAATTTCGCAAGGTATCAACGTCTAATTTATTTACATTTTGTAATATTCATTCATATTAATTTTAATTTATTAATATTTAATTTAAGATTTTTAGTTTAAAATGGTACAATTTAAAAATTTAAGTTTTTTGATCTATGAGGCGTAATATTCCATTTTTTAGTATTGTGTTAGCGAAAACCGAAGGCGTTATGTAGTAATAGTATAGGTACAGAATACGTGGACGTATATATGTATATGCTAGTATTTGTATGAAAATGTAAAATTTTTGATACTGAAAAATTATTTTTTATTCACAAACGAAAATATCAGGGATTTATTTACAAGTTACTTACCCGTTGGTGTGTTCACGAATTTTTATGGCCATAAGTTTTTAGCTCTTTTATCATTGTATATAATTCAAATGCGAGTGTGGTAGGTGAACGTATTTCTGAATGAGTAAAAGAGATGGAGGAGAGGACATTTGATGGACATGGTTCTGGAAAATACCGATGTTTATAATTTTCTGAAATAGCTCTTAATAGGAGGTCTCCAAATCTGATCGTATCAATTTAAATAGATAATTGGACATCGTATATAAATTGAATATCGATTTCGTTGCTGAACTGATCATTTCTGAAAATTGAACTGTAAAGCTCTGAGATCTGTACACTAAAATGGTTTTTTAATTACTTTCTGAGAAAAAGAAAAGGCACAAAAGAGAGAAGAGAGAAGAAGGTCAGTTACATCGCGATATTATATTAAAAATTGCTTTATATTTGCGTTCATAAACAAATGTTACTTACTTGTTAGTTTGTCCATAAACATAGCTAAATATTCACAATAACATAGGAAAATTCTTAAGAGCAGCGGTTCAGTTATATAAACTGTTTTGATTTTATATAGAATAACTAAAAATCTATTGTATACTCATCACTGATGTCTTGCAATATTACGTTTGAAAAGATTACTGTCATATAATTGTCATAATTAAGGTTTCAACACTTATTTTCTATATAAAAATACTATAATGTCATTTATCACAACTAAATTTCGTTACTATTCGTCAACTAGCGCATCAATGAGATAGATTTTTTGAGTTATTTTAATTCCCTCTACTGCCAGAGGGAATTAAAATAACAAGATTTAGTACACTGTAATTATGAAGAATTGATAAATAAATTAATATCTGATTTTTATACAATAGAAATCTTTGAATTACTGGAAACCATTAGCACTAATGTAATTATAAACTTCCTTAGTATTATTTTGTGAAAACTTTAATATTCTTGTTCTACATTTCTAAAAAAAAAATATCTTTCCGGTACTTTAATTTGTCAATATTTCATTAAAATGTTAAAATATGAATCTACTTCCAATCTTTTCATTATCTTATAGAATCAAAACTTCCGTTGTCTTTTATGCGTTCCCAATGTTATTGTATAGAAAAAAATTCTCTTCTACTTTAAAGTACTAATTGAACTTCGTCCTTTTTTTTAAATTGTTATATTTTTAAAGTATAGTAATATGGAAATCATCTAAAGAATTCGTAGCTAACATTATACCCATAATGAAATTGCTTAAAAACTTTAAAATTTATGTAGAAATTTAAGTGTATTTTAAATAAATAAATAAAAAAAAATTCAAATTGCGGTGATCTGCTATAGATACCGTAAATTTCGTGTAAAAAAGAATTCCCTCCTCTCATTTTTTACTTGCAATTTTTATTATTAATTTTTTTTTTTCAAAATTTTTTTTGCAAAATATTTTATTTATGTCGCCGTATTTCTTTTTGTGCTAATCATTAACTTCCTTATTAAATATGAAATTTATATGCATGTATACAAGTATAAATACATACAAACGCATATACCTATATGTGTACATACACATTCATGCTCATATATTTTTGAATAATGATGCAGACAAAATAAAAGAAAATTTAGCTGAGAATTATTTTGGAATGTTTTTATTATTATTATTATTTTTTTATCTCGAGACCTTTAATTTTAACACTTAGAATTATTATTATTGTTATCATTATCATCATTATTATTATTATGAATTTTATATATGAATTGGATTAAATAATTGTAGGCCTTATCAAAAAAAAAAAATTAGATGTAAACAATTTATGACCGATCTTGTTGTTGATTTTTCGATTGTAATACCTAAAATGATTTTTTAAAATAAATTAGTCTGTCGAAATAGTTGTACAAGAAGCACTAGCAAGAAAATGTTTTACATAACGCAGGCAATTTTGTATGAAATTATTCAAAAGTAAAATCTAGAAATCTTATGTATTTTCTACCAAAATTTTATTAGTTCTTTTTCTTTACAGGAAAACCTCAAACACTTTAACCATTAGATGTGGATAAAAATATGAAATTTGTCCGTAAATATGTTAGCACGCATGTCTTTAAAGAAATATAAAATTTCGAGGAAAGTGCTTAAAAAATCCTTGTTCTGCAAAGGTATCAAAAATCTTGAACTGATTTGACTGAGAACAAAATCTTGAACTGAGCAGAGACTAATTTTGGAGTCTCTTTACGCTATAAAAATTGATTAGTAGATTAGTTAACTTGATTAAAAGAAATTCTTTCAGCCAAATAGACAGACATATGGATGCACTTTTTTAGGCTTAAACTAATTTTTCGATTTTTTTTTTGAAAATTACATTTTGCGTTCAAACTTCAGTAGGTAAAACCTATAATGCTATCAATACCTCTTTGTGTCTTACGCAATTTTGTCTGTAGTTGGAAAAATTTTATGAGCCTATTATTTAAGAAACGCTGTAAATATGCAAACCAATTCATATGTTTTTTTATAGAAATTGCAAAGGAAGTGTTAAAATTAAAAACGAAACCCTTGTGTAAGTTTGTTTATTATGAGGAAACATTTTACCGCCAAAAATATTATTTGTGTATATAACTGAGTTCTTATGCTTAAAATTCTTAAGTTTATTATTGCGCAATATTGTAATTCATTAGGAAAAGAGAAATCAGAATATTTCGCATTATATATAAAATAACATTGAATATTAAAGAGTCTGAGAAATAATTAACAACAATGTAATTTTATTGATAAAAAAACAATCTTATGTATGCTTCATTCCAATTCATATTTCTAAGCTTCATTGATTTAAGTAACAGAAACTTATTACCTTTGAAAATATGAGCAAAATTAGGCCTGTTCAAGATAAGCAATTCATTTTAATGCATTCTAATAAAAAGCGTTCAAGAATGCAAAAAATGTTGTATTATTAAAACCATTTTTGTACATAAAGATAAAATTTTATTGCATACTTTTAGGAAGCATTTTAAGAAAATGGAGAAAATTAAGAATAGTAATTATACTGTCATAACGGTTACAGTCGCTAATAAAAGAAAAATGATTTTAATTTTTGACGAGTAATTATTTTCCGTTTGTGAATTAAAATCGTGCTCTCATTTAACGATTTATGATTTCAGAACATTTGGCTTTCAAAATCTGGTACTTTTAGTACTTTCATAACTTGAGCAGACTGAGATGCGTGAAAGTTTTGTTTTGGAAATATTTAATTATAACTAAAATCTATCTGCACATACTAAATAAGATACTAAATCATAACAAATTTCACGAGCCATATGAAGTTAAAAGATTTATACTGAAGAGTTTAAGAGATTAAGAGTAAGAGTACAGTAAGAGTTTGATTTTTCAGAATATTTGAGTAACTTATTTTTAGAATCGAAATTGTATCTTTAATGCCTTCTTAAATATTTTAGTTAGACAAGCTGTTTTCTAACAAATAGACTATGAAATATTTTTGAAATTTCTGGTTCTATCCAGAGATAAAGATTTTTGCAACAATCATTTATAATTCCAATAAATTCTAAATTATAAGTATATGTATATGAATAATAGCATCATTTTTAATTAATTTTGGATGAAGCAAAACGACAAAACGTTGACTGAAAATTAATTTATTATTAATATTAAAGGTTGTTATTTAAACAGAATTTTCTTTTTTAATGTAAAAATTTAAAATTGGCACAATCTTACCTGTTTATTATAACAATCTTCACCACATCCTAAATTTGTATGCTCAGTGTTTGTAAAATTCTAAAAAATAAAAAAAAAGTGGGAATTTTTTACTTATATAATTTAATTGTTAAAATAGTTTATGGCTAAATTAATAAATTCAATTAAATATAAAAAAAATTAATTAAATAAAAAAAAAATTAACAACTTCGACCGTGACAGGACTCGAACCTGCAATCTTCGGATTCGAAGTCCGACGCCTTATCCATTAGGCCACACGGTCCACATTCATTCAATATACAAAAAGGATATTTCAATACGAAATCTTTTATAAAATAATCGATAAAAAAATACAAATACAAATATATGCATATCCTTCTATATATCCTTTTATTCTCAGAAAAATAACAAAAATATGACAAAATAAGAAAAACAAAAAAAAAAACAACAGTAGATAACAAACACATTTCTCTTCTCACCCTCCACTTAATTATTCTCTTGTTTATCCACCCCTTTTCCATACAATACCAATAACATCGTATAAAATTCCATTCTCCTTTATACAAATACAATGTGAAAAAAAATGTTATACAAAATATGATTATTTGAATTATTATTACAGTATAACAGAAGCGTGGGATGCTGCATATTTAAATACAAAGAAATTTACTTAATATTTCAAAACTGTTATACAAAATATAATATTTAACTTTTAAAGTATAATATACACAGTATTTTATAAAACGTGCAGTTAAAAAATCATGTGTATAACAAATACGAACACATTCATGTGTATATTTATTTCAGTTTCAAAAAAATTATTCTATATACAACAACAAATACCTCGCACATATAAAATGTCATAGAAAAAGGATGCGTGAAAAAGTTTTCTGTAATTGTAATTCAAATTTTATACTGTTTGTTTTTCTGTTTCTTTATGTTTGTTTATTGTTGTTTTGCAGCTATTGTAACTGTTGTTATTATAGTTGTACCCGATAAGAAACTCTCTACGATAATTATTGTTGTTTTTATTTTCTATTTGAGAATATGAGTATTTTATTACGCGTTGTCTATTGAGAGAAAGTTTCAATGTATTTTTTTACTCATATTTTCTAAATGAGTACACAGACATACCAATTATTTTCCCTACATTCAAAATGTTATTATAGTTGTTAAAGATATTAAAGGAAATGATTTATTCACATGTATGAGTGTATGTGTGTATGTTCATACATATACATAGAAAATATAATTGTTGATTTATATGCTTGATATGATGAGAAGGATATTAAAATAAAGATGAGTTTATAAAAATGAGAATTTAATTGAATTGTATAGAGAGAAGGGAAATGTTCTCTCCCTTAATTCCATTAATTTGTTTATTTGCAAGTACATTATATAATTTGATTATTTAAATTTAAATTGAATTTATTTTATTGTTGTAATAATTATTATTATTGATTTATTAATAATATGTCAGAGTATAAGTAGACTCTGACATTGTGTTAATTTTTCAATAATGTAAATTGAAAACTGCAACTAAGAATTGAGAAATAAAAGGATATTCATAGAAAAACGAATATATTATGGAAAAGGAAATAAGAAAGATAAGGCACACACTTCACATTTGAATTCAATAAGGATATAAAAATAAATGAGATTTGTTTTTACTAAAAGGATATTTTAGAATTTAGAATTGAATTTGAATAAAGGTTTCGAGTTGCAATGTTAATAAAATTGCATTTTGTAAGTATAGGGTCATTTTGTGTAAATTTAAATAATAAAATTCTTATTTAATTTAAAAAGCTTTATTTTCTTTAATTAATTTCAATTTTAAGAGATTGTTGAAAAAATTGAGTCTTTCAATAAAACTTTTAGATTATAAAAGATAAAAGCTAAAGTTTTTACTCACAAATGGTTTGGTGAACTTTAAGTTCCGAGGTAGACAAAATTTTAGCATTATTTGGTTTCAAGCAAAAGGTAGACGGGTCTTATATTATAGATTTTCTATCTTGAGTACAGGCTATCTTGATTGTCAGAACAATCTGCATGAATTTTAAGTGGAAAAAGTGAAATTTTTTATTTAAATTTGAAGCTATTATAAAATTGGAAGTTAATATTCATTTTGATGAAAATGCATGCAACTGGACAATTTTAAATAGATTAATTTTTCTATATTAATATTTAAAACAATTTCTTTGTTTGAGAAATTCTAACAAAATATTCTTATACTCTTGTTGCAAATTTTTTATTTATTCTTTTTATTCTAAAAATTTGAAGTCAATAGATTTGCTATTATAAGCATCTGTTGATATCGCAGAATTCATGTGCTTCTAAAAAATATTTTGTAAATTAATAACAATTTAATCTTTATGACGATACAGATCACAATCATAATTTTCACAGCTTGAAAAAAAATGTCACCTACATATTTTTTAAATAGAATTTTTGCTTTTCTCATTTTTTGCAAAATATGTTGAACTTAAATAAAAACAATTAAATTAAATTGAAATAAAAATAGAATAATGAAAAAAAATTTGCGCCTTAATTAATTATAAAGTTTATTTTTCTATTTATAAATTTCATATAGATGACCCATTATTAAAAGCTTAATATATTATTATCTATCTCCCTACATCTTCATTCCTTTCAGCATCGTACGTTAAAATTTCAAAGTATATACTTATATGAGATTAATTATAATCGAATTACATTAGACAAGAGTGGAAGGAAAAATAATTGAAACTTTTAGAAGTCAAAATTTAAAATCAAACTAGTGATTGTTGATCTGTGATCCGCGAACACGCACATATGTATGTCTCCAAAAGCAAATAGTTTTTTTACTCAATTAATTTGTATTTTTTTTTTAGGATAACCATACGGGAATGAAAGTTCTTTTGAATTTGTTGACATAAAATGTTTTTAACCCTTTTTAACTATAAAAATTTTTCTTAGAAAATAATTCTGTGCGTGCAAACAAAAACTCCATAAATTGACCTTTTTATTTTAATGAATATTTGGTCAATTATTTGTGTTCATGCAGATATTTAGTTCTGATATTATGGATAAAAGTATAAAAAACTGGATTTGCTTTTTAAAAGAGAACTACGTCTTGAGTTTAATTTCATCAAAATATGATTTTATGTAAAAATATTTACCTGCAAAATAGGTAATCATAATTACGTATTTATGTGCTTCTCAGATTTAGGAAAGTCTGTCTTTATATGAAAGAAAAATAATTTCCTTATACAAACTAAAAAATAGGCCGAAACAATTTTGGCTCTAAAATATTAAAAACCTTTTGACTTACAAAGTTTTTCTCAAAGCCACAGAATTAATACTAGAAAATATTCAAATTGTGCTTCAATTATTTTAAAATTGTCTATTTACTTTCTCATCAGTTGAGACTTTGCTATAACAGAAACTTTATAACAAAAAATATGTGAATAATTTAATGATATTTGATACCCATAGTCAAATTTACAGAACACATATGGATTCAAGGAAATCTCGTTTTAATTATGTTGGAATTTTATAAATATTATTTTTAAAATAACTATATGGACATCTAAGACCAATAGCACTTGAATGTTGAAAATTTAAGAAGTTTATTCATTATTGGACATTTAAAATAAAAATCGTAACGATTTTTTAAATTGCAAATAAATTCGTGAACATTAAATTGGAATGCCCGCTTGCTCTAAACTTTTTTATTGACAAAAATTACTCAAACTAAAAGACTAAAATGATAAAATGTTTATTTTCGAAATTGTTTGAATGAATTTTTTAAGGCTATTCTCAGAAACATAGTCTAAGATCTTGTATGAACGAATATAAAGTACCAATTTATAAAGTATAAAGTACAACATTTCAAGTTGCCCGTTCTTTTTGGTATCAAAACAGTAGTTCTTCAACAACAAATGGATGAACGAGGGGACAAACGGGCGAATATGGATTGAATGAGTTAGGGTTCAATGCTGAGTACGAATGTTTAATGTATAAGGTACACCATTCCTCGTAAAGTTTACGTGACAAATTGAATACACGTCAAATTTGATTGTGAGTAAAGACATCATCAGTGTAATCGCGAGTAAAGATAAATGACAAACGTCAGTGACGTTTTAAAAATTTTGTGATTTTCTACAGTTTTTATTTTTGACCAGCGTCAACACAATTCTATAAGTATAATAATGATAATAAATCCCAATGCCAATTAAGCTGATCTGGTAAAGAAGTAAAGAAACTTGCCTAATACTCAAAATGATGAAATTCTGTGAAAATTGGTTTTATATAAATTAGAAGTAAAATTTTAAATTAATATAAGAAAATTTCTACATTATACGTCATACACTAAAGTTTAAGAGAGTATGTTAAATTTACTTTATTATTAACAACTTGTCATAAATTTTTAAATTTCAAATTCGTATACAAATCTAAATTGAAATTTTTTATGAATGAAAAATTTTATTTTCATAACATTAATTTAACAAAAATTGATCGTTTATCAGATGTCTACGTACCAAAATACAACTTGCAAAAACAGAAAATTCAAATGAGAAAGAAAGAGAAACCTATTCAAATAAAAGCCGCATTTCAATAAATCTGACATGAATCAAAATATTTTTTAAGCAATCTGATATTTACAAAAGATATTCATACATATACATTCATACATACATATGTTATAAGAATATAGAAATTCGCGGCATTATGCGGCATAATAGGAGGCATAAAAGCAAACATTAGAATCACAACCCAAGAATGTTCAATTCAAATCAATTAATTTGATAATTTTGTACGGCTCAATTGTTTATTTTTTAATATTTTCCTTTTGTTTTCTATATTTATATTAAAAACCATTTGTTTGTGTACAACTCTTCTTCTTTTATTAACTTATCAAATATTTATAGAACTTTTTGATTCATAAACAAAACTGAAAGCCTTAAATAAATTTATATAAAAATAGCAAATAATTCGTGAAGTTTTCTTTATATTTTTAATTTTGTCTAAATACTCAATTATTTACAAAACCGAATTTAGAAAAAGAAACAATTCATAGATAGTTTCAATTTCAAAACGAA